GACAGGGCACAGCGATGTGTAAGGCTACTTACTGAGCACTGCTGGGCCCCCCCGAAGGTGCAAACAGGAAAACACGCTACCCCTGCATCGTACCGGGTCAGAACGTAGCACGAGAGCGCAACCCAAGGGAATCACTCAAAATATCAATTATTTAACAGGAAAACTCAGAAGAGCTACCTGCAGCGGCGGCCTCCCCGGGCCCGTCCGGCACCGCCTCTCCGCCTCCCACCCGGGAGTCCCGCACACGGACACGACCCCCTCGCCGCGCCGCCCCACCGAGCCCGGCGCACGGGCGCGGCCGAGCCGGCCCGCGGAGCACCACGGCAGGCCCCCACCACGCGGCGGAGAAGGGGCGGGAGGGGCGCCGCGGCCACCTCGCTCTCACCGGCGGGCCGAGACAGGACGGGAAGGGCCGGGGAAGGGAAGGGCCCGGAACAGAACGCCGCTCCCGCAGCCGCGCCGGTCCGGCAGCGCCGCTTCCGCCCACGTGACGGCGGCGGCTGGGCGGCCGCCGCAGCGCCCCCTGGCGGTGGAGGTGTGGGGAGATGGCAGAACTTCAAATAACGGTGTCCATCTCTGACCGCATGGTGTAATTCGATTTGGCCAGGACAGCGGCAGGGCTAATGTAACTTCATAGAATCATCAAGGTTGGAAGAGCCCTTCAAGATCAACCAGTCCAACCATCCACCCATCACTGCCACTGTAACCCCAAACCACTACCCCGTAATAGCCAGAGCCAGAAGTCTCTTAAACACCTCCAGCAACAGTGCCTCCACCACCTCCTTGGGCAACCTATTCCCGTGCCTGACCGCCCTAACAGTGAAAATTTGTTTTCTGATACCTAATCTGAATCTACCGTCTCAGTTTAAGGCCATTTCCTCTGGTCCTCACTGCAGTCACGGCAGAAGAGACTGGCCCCCACCTCACCACAACCTCCTTTCAGGTAGTTGTGGATGGAGTATGATGAGATTCCCCCTGAGCCTCCTCTTCTCTAGACTAAATAAACCCATTCCCTCAGCTGTTCCTTTTAAGACTTGTTTTCTACACCCTTTGGAAACCTTGTTGCCCTTGTCTGAACATGCTCCAGCACTTGGATGTCTTTGTTACAGTGAGGCGCCCAGAACTGAACACCAAGGTGTGGCCTCACCAATGCCCAGTACAGGGGATGATCACTGCCCTGGTGCTGCTGGCCATGCTATTTCTGATACAGGATGCCATTGGCTTTCTTGGCCACCTGGGTGCATTGCTAGCTCATGTTCATTCAGCTCATATTCATATTCTGTGAGCAGCATTCAGACTTTGGCTTTGCCCCCAGGCAGAAGCACCAGTAGTAATTGATAGTCTTTGATGTCCTTGATAATCCAGACAGTACTCTCTGACTAGTGATCATGAAATTTAGGATTTGGCATCTAACCGTGAGAAATGATGTACCAATCTGTCTGTAGCTACTTGTAGCCACTGCTGAATTCTGTGAAAACTGGAGCTACCTTCCAGTTCAAACTTTGCTGTGAAGGAGGTTCTCTACAGGATCGATATACTTAACTAATTTTTAATATCATTAATGTAAGTTAATAATACGGTATTTCTTCAACACTTGCATGCAGAGTTAAGGATAGCATAATTACAGATTACTTGAACTGTATGATTTATTCACATTAATACATCAGTATGCCTTCAGTGTATTGCTGATAAAATGTATTTGCCAGGCCACGACCAATAAAGAACAACAGAAAACATCTTTTGCAAGGGTTTGTTAGAAATTGCCAATATGTGGACTTATAACATTTAAAGCTGTGATTTTGTAGTTCCCATATCATTTTTTCACTTGACTGAAAGCACTGAGATTAGCTCAGTTGTTTAGTTGGTTAGAGCGTGGTGCTAATAACACCAAGGTTGTGGCCATTCACTTGGGAGTTAGACTCAATGATCTTTGTGGGTCCCTCCCAGCTCAGATTCTGTGATTAAATCTGACTGACCAATTAAGTCTTGCTGAATATACTTTTATTTTCCTACTTACATAATGACATACTGTATAATTTTATAATATACCATTTGTAAGGGCCAAGGTTAAAATAGAAGTAATTCGATAATTTCTCAATTCAGCCACAAAATATAACTATCTCTGGCTAGATATACAAAGACTGGACAGGCAGCCATAAAATATTGGACAAGGTTTCATAAAGCTGTTGTTATTAGGCAGAACTCTCTAGTTTCCTGTCTCTAGCTGTTACTTATGTTAGAAGAAAAAAGAAACCACACCAAAATGCAGTTTCTAATGGTAAAATGTGTTTACAAATTAAAACTGACATGAGATAATCTTCCAGGATGCACAGTGCCATCCTCTACCCTCCTACTTCAGCTTCCCACAGATGCTCTTTAGAAAGGGTCTTTGATCTTAGATACTGACTTTAAGACAAAATATTCTTAAATATTTAAAATTACATAATACAATCCCTTGCTTTACTAGAAAAATATTTATATGCTGAAAGTGACTGAACCTATTGGGAAATAGATAGATGACAGGGAAAGCAGTATAGTCTTGTGTTGGAAAGAGGTGTATTACTATATGTATGACTCCAAAGCACAAAGGAGAAGAATGAGAAATAACACAAAAGACACAGTCCAGAACAGGCACTCTGCTCTGTTTCACTTCCAAAATTATTTTTAAAATTCTGTATTTGCCTAATTTAAGATGTAGGAAATTATTAGTTATCCATGAAAGATAAACACACAGGAGAAGAGTACTTCTGCTTTAAATAAATAAAATTAAATAAACTCTTTTGTCATAGGTTTCCCCACATTCTTAATTCTGATGTTGGTTAAAGAGTTTTAAAAAATACATACAGGAAAAAACCTGATCGATCTTTATGATAGCCTTTTTGCCTCTTCTGTGATGCTTATGATCACTCTTCTTCATTTTCAGGCTGCTACATATTTTCTTTTCTCTGTAACAGATATGGCTGATAGCAATTCCCATCTTCTGAAGAAAATCTGCATTATAACCACAATCTCAAGTATTAATTTATTCCATCCTGTAGCTGAAACCTTTTATAAGAATGCAACAGATTTATTTATACACAAGAGTTTGTTCCTATTCAGTTTCGGAGAAGACTTCCAGGAGAACTAGATAAACCCCTGATACTGTATTTCAAACTACATTCTACTTATCCAAGATCAGGAAATGTGATGCAGGAAATAACTCTGCATTAACTGAAAGATGGACTATTTAGCCTGTTAGCATATTCTCTGTGTCCTGTGGTGCAGCTGGGCTATACTCACCACAAAGTGATGGTCTCCAGCACCTCAAGACAGACTTTCCACATTGTGATCAGGCAATTATACGGTGTCTTGGTAGTTGACATCTTACAAAGACGTTCACACAAAGAACTGTGTAAAAGTAAGGAGTCCCTAGATTAGATCCCTGAAGATCTTTTAAAGTATTTTTCCTTTAGATAGTAAATGAAATAATTGACAGGGACAATGTACCTTTTTTAACTTTCCTTCAGTTTAGTCTGATTACTTAGTGAAGCATGTCTGAAATACTATGTTATTAGACAGAAGAAATGACAGACAGACTTTAATTGCGTATTATTCCACATAAAATGCAGGTTTATTTGCCTTCTAATATAGTCAATTTACTGTTTATACAGTACAAGAATAAAAATATATAAACTACCAAAGAAAGTCCATTAAATGTGGCTGAACATTATAGTAATTTTTTAGCTATCATCAGTTTCTAACATGATACAGACAATTGTTGGGTCAGGAATTCACTATATATGTACTTTATTTCAGAAGAGTGATCTGAAGTGCTCATTTTTAGAGGTTCTATGTCTTTATTACAATTATGAGATGAATGATGGAAGCTTTTCTACCCAGAAAACATTTCCTTGTGCCTATTAAGCAAAGAATTTGTACACATTACAGAAAACATTGTGATCTCAACAATTAATACATGGTTCAAACAAGACAATGTATCAGGGATAGCAGTAGCATGAATTATACTTGCTATTGAAGATGGTTTTGTGGAACCTGGACGTTAGGCAAATACTTCTTGTAGCTAATAATCAAATGTCACAACACACATACTGGCAATGGATTATCCCAAAGACATTCTCAAAAGAACAACTGATTTTCACAAACAATTACTATAAATACAATCCTTCTCTTTAACAGTATGTAGGTGGCAAATTTAAGACTTAAGTTCTTACAAGTTCCAGAGGATGTGTTACCCACATAAACGGCTCTCACAACTGTCGTGATACACATAATTACTAAGATTTGTGTTAGAATGCATGTAATTTGCAACATGTGCCTAGAATAAATATATAACTTCTGAAGATTAGCTAATCAAAGGTATGGCCTTTCCTATATACACGCAATAGGGTAACATTTTAAAAGTAGAAAGCTGTACATTTTACAGTTTTTCAAATATATTCTCAGTTATTGGATGTTATTTTAATTTTGAATCCAAAGTACATTTTCACAAATGTTTTAAAAGCTGGGAGTTCATGTGAAAGACAACAGCAAAGTACAAGTCACAGGACCCTTGTGTGACTATCCAGTTGTACAGATGGCAGGTGCTGAGAGGGGACATGAAGCACCCTCTGATTTCCTAGGAGCTGTCATCAGTCAGCTTTAGGTCCACACCTGGTTTAGTCCACAGCTAGCCTTCCTATACTCTCTTGGTTGCCAAAACAGAAAGAGATTTTCTCCTGCAGGATGTTCTGACCAGAAGCTTCTCTGAATGACCTTCTGGGTTGGCATTTCTTTATTGATTACGGGTTGAACAGCCAATGAGCATTGCTGACTGACACCAGGCAGTATCACTGTGCTTCTTACTATTAACATTGTTCCCCTTCAGCTCCTGCTTCAATACAGCTTCAATTCATCCTCTGTTTCTACTGTAATATACTACTATCACAAGTCCAGCTGTAACTTTTTATGAAATGTTCTGAACATTCAAGTAGGCCTCGCCCACTGGAAATGTAACTCTAAGTAGCGCACCGAATATGCTAACATTAGCTAAAAACTGGTGAAAATAACTCTCATAATTCTATGAATTTTGAAAAGTCTATCACTGTCCTACAAAGTAAGTGTAGTAGCCAACGACTATTGTTTACATAGTACCTTGTTATCTCTTGGTCCAGAGGCAGAGACATAAACAGTTTCTGTTCCTTAACCTTGCCTGTTTATAAGCACTGAAGTGCTAGAAAGGAGAACTTAATGATACAAAAGTTCTGAAAGGTGTGACAAATAAAGCAATGCTGCTTAAGAACATTTATTATCTAGGACAGTACCACAAATGTGAAGGCCAAAGGGCACACTAAATGTTCTATAGGAAAAATAATATAACTGCATAGGTAAAAGGTTGGTCCCATGGTACCTAAATGCAATACTCCGATTCATCAGGATGAGGGTTGGATTCTTATACGGATGTAGGTAAGATTTCTTTAATGGAGTTCTGCATTTTAACACATTTGAAAACGGAAATGTGCATCATTCTTATACAGACCTCAATTGATTGCTTTCTTTTTTCTACTTCTAGGACACAAATTAACTGTTTATGCTCTTAATGCTGTAAAATGATTTTAGCTATTAATGAAAGATAATCTATACCTCCATAAACATATGAGAAAATGCTGAACTCTACTTACAAAAGCAATCACTACTGACTGTGAGAATTACTGGTTCTACCTTGTGAGTCTCATGTATTTGTAAGTATTTGCTAGAGTGAGGCCCTCCCAATATATATAAATGGTCAATTGTTTATGTAAAAAGTACGCTCCATTTTTTACTTACATGTAAACCTAAAAAGCAGATACTGCATATCACTTACTATCTTTTTGATCAGATGGTATATGAAATGCTGGTCAGTGAAAGTCAACCAGTCACCTTAATGTTAGAAAATGCATCCTCAGGACAAAGGACACAGGGAGAGACATAAAAGGTTGGAAGCATAGAAGCACATCCTCATAACTACTAAGCAATCCCTATTACTGGATGACCAGATTGAATCATCATTTAGGTAGGTGTCATCAAAGTTCACAATCTTCAAGTCCTTCTTAAGGTACATTGCATTCAGATTGCTTAGTGTTCGAGCAAAGGTATATTTAGATGCACAACTATATGCTTCCATATTGTAGATCTTGTGGAAGTGCATATCAAAATATGGATTATCCTAAAAAAAAAAAAAAAGGAATAAAATTGAGAGATAGAGAAATTATTATATGCATTACAGTGTTAAAATGGCAATCTGTTGTTCTCTGCTTAGCTACCTGCAGGGCTTTTTCTCTGATGGGCTCTAAAGTACTTTGCATATTTCTGCTATTCATCTTAAGTGGTCTTTTATACCTTTAAAAAGCAGCAGCGTAAAATTAGATGTAATTCTTTGCCATTGGGAATTGTGAGTAAAACTTTCAAAGTTTATTCAACCAATATGCTGCTGTTTATTGAGATTATACAATCTTGTTTTGAAATAAACCAATTTGTCATGTTGCCTAAAACACACTATATGAAAAGCACTTGCCTGAGACTATAACTATCTATGTCTGTCAGAAGAATAATACTGATTGGCCCTTTCTGCCTTAATTGTATTTCTTTGTGCTTTCTGGTTCTTTGGCACAATTAATTAACTTAGCAGCAGCTAAGTTCTGCTAAATTCCATGGATACGAATACCTATTATGAACATTTATAGCAGTGTTAATCACCCTATAATTATGAGTTTGAGGTTCATTTAGGCTTTTCTTTAACCAAAAATGAGACAGATTTTGATCATCCAAGTTGTGAAAGGCTGGATCATCTCTGAGGAATATTTTAGCACAACACTTCAAAAAAAAAAAGCTTAAATTCATGCAGCAAGTGATAAGGAAATCCTCTGGCTGCCTTTGGCTGGGGAAAGGACAGGAACATTTTCAGGTGCAAGATAACTTGGAGAGGGGATGTAAAGGATTCTTAGTTTTGTCTTTTTTCCCCTTCTGGCCTAAACTGCTACGAGCTCACAGGGTGCGGGGGTACTCTGAAGCAGAGTTCACCTCTTCTGTCTCCCACATTCCTCTTTTTAGCCTTGAGGACCATGTGCACAGGACAGAATGAGAACAACTCCAATTTGCCATTTTCCTTGGAATAAGGCTCTGAAACATTTCTTGTGGGGCTGTTGATTTCTGTTTCATTAGCTTTATGTAATTTGAATTCTATTTCACATTCATTTGAAAGCGCTTTCAAAAAAATAATTCTTTCCTGGACTACATTTATTATACACAGACAACTGTTAAAATGTCTTTTCGCACATATAAAGAAGATATTCTCCTCAGCATATTCTTCTAGCTTTGTAAAATTGGATTTAATTCTATTTTTGGAGTTGTTATGTATTGTACTACTGCAGTCTCATTTTATCCTTCTGAAGCTGTATCTGAGAGATTAGGACTTTTTTAGCAGCAAGGTCAGCCTGATCTAGCCAAAACTGTTTCATATTTACACACACAAATAGACAAATACTGAATTGATTCAAGTAACCTGAGACTAAGCTGTGTGAAAGACACAATTTTGTGAGCTGCTACATGAAACAATGCACTTGTATGGTATTTTACACGTTGACTTTGTTACACAGAGACCAGATTCAAACATTTAAATGAGAGGGTGACAGTCTCCATAGAAATATTTAACAAAATTTTGTTTTCAAATACACTTTAAAATCTATGGGATTAACTGCAGTTTACACTGGAGCTGCAGGTGGAGAACTTTTATTACCAATTATAATTAACAAATTAGAAAACAACCAGCTTCTGCCTCAAGTCTCAACCAGAGAGATAAAGATGATCACAATAAACACAAAAATCTCTCCTTCCTCTTCCCTTGCAACAGTGAAAATGTGATGTGGAGCCTCTCACATGCAATAAAACAAAAATTCCTTGGTAACATAACTTTATTTTTCAGATAATGCATTTTAATAATTTTGTCCTAAATTGCAACACAAGAAAATTATACTCTACGTATTTAATAGTACACAACACTTACAGTATCTGCTTCTTTTCCATCAATCATCTCCAGATCTTTCAAAAACCACTTTTCAACTATTTCATATTTCTCCTCTCGATTCACTCGCCAGTGTTTCACCATACATATTTCTACTTCTTTACTTGCAGTCACTGCAAGAAAAAAATAGTTTAGATATGCAGGCAAGTACTTATGCAAAGTTCTGATAATAGAAGGCTTAATTAAACTACATTTTAGATAGTAACTTTAAATCATGACAGGCAGGGCTGTATAGGCTTATACTGACTTAACAGTTTTATTTTGCCCAGGTAGTAGAAACAGCACCATGTTTTCAGTCTTTTAGTAGATCTAGTGTTTTTAGTAGATCTAGAGTTTACCTTACCCAGCCTGTGAAGAGAGTCTTGTCTGTTCAAAAGCCTTTCATGTAAATTCACTAGCAGTGCCAAGAAAGCCTAGTTCTGGCACTGGATCTGCACTTATGGTTTGGGAGGCAGTCTTTTTGGGATGCTGCAGTCAGAAAACTGCAAAACTTCTACCAAGGCTCTGTATTTACATGACTTGTGCTACACTTTCCGTTCTGTAGAGGAAGTTATCATATGTAGCCATTACTTTTTTAAAGCAAAATTCTTATTTCTCTAATATATAATTAGGCCACTTCACAAAAATAACATTTAAAAATTTTCCTAAAGCTTCAAGCTGTCCAGTGCTGACTTTATAGAAATAACTGTTTTCCAACGTAGGCAGGAAATTAGATTAAAAAGAACACAAAGACACTCTGTGCAGTAACTACCATGATTAATTGATTACATTGAGTGCTGTGTAGGAGACTGGATTTCCGTAACACACAATGATGAGTGTGAAAAGCAGCAGAGCCTGAACAATCTCCTGCACATCCAGCTGCTGATGGCTGCAGGGCAGGAGACATCCCCAAGCCATCTGGTAGCCTAAGTTAAGGGTGAGATGTCACCTATGTCTAGCAGGAGCATTTTCACACCATAGCATGAGGCTAGAAACACAGGCGCAAAATTCTTTTATTTCTAAATATTACCTGAATTTTTGAAAACCCATTTTGAAACTTGACTAGTTTTATCTTACTCTTGTTAAAACTTCTCTTGCTTCTCACCTGCTTATAAGAAAATGGTTATTAAATAAAGACCAACAAAGGATGTATGTTGGAGATATGCCTTCTCTCCACTGAAAAGAAAAACAGTGGAAAATATATAAATGGATTATAATTTCTCTCAGCCTATAGCTTCACTGCCTGGGAAATACAAATCAGTCTTGCTTTTTTCCCCTAATCCTATCAAGCAGAGTTGCTTGAAGGTTTTTTATTAAAAAAAAAAAAAAAAGACCAAAAGACCACCACTGTGGTGGATAGGTTAAAATCATTTTCATTTGCAAGCAAATCTAATAGAGTAATCTTAGGAAGTTCTCTTCATACTTTCAGTTTCTCCCATTTTTTTCTGTTGGTTGGAAATATATTGCCTTCCTCAGAGTTAAAACAAAAGGAAACAAGCCCAAGCCCAAAAGCCCCCAGTCCTGTCAGAAACACAAAGGGATGTCCTAGTGGACCCCAGGTCCTCCACATCGCCACTGCTCTACCTGTCAGACAACAGAAATCCTATGACATAAGGACAGAGCACAGATGTGTTAGGAATAATGAAACCAGGAGCATGTCCTGCCCAGTGGTGAAATTTGGGCGGACTAGTTTCAATTAAAAATAAATTTACTTTTCCTATATTTTACATATTGCTTGTTCTTGTACTCAGTTAAAAGAGCCAAAGAAAAAAAATATATAGAACATGAGCTCAGATCTACCATGTCAGTCTATTAAGTTCTAAAAGCTTTTCCTGAGGAGGGCACAGCTATGGTAATGCCTTCATAGAGCACAAACTATTTCTTAAAGTCTTCCATGGACTAAACACCTTTTTCAGAGTCTCTGTTGGACAATACAATGCTATTCCTACCGTTCTTTCTTGAGCATAGCAATACTGGGTTGTGAAAACCCCTGAATGGGGTTGCATATCAGCCTTATGTTCTTCTGGGGTTTGTGAAGCTTTCAGTGAAAGGATACTATTACCTTCACACAGAAACTGGGACTTGCTGTTGTGAAAAGGAAAGGAAATAATGTTGGCACAAAAATGAGATTCTTCAGTTACCCACACCGGGATTTTGTTGTAATACAGATTTCAAAAGGCATAGACCTCTGAAGTTTTGCCTATAGCTTCACTGATATTTTTTTTTTTTGCTATGGTAATTTGAAATGAACAGGAATACACAGAGGTTGCATTGCAGGGATAGGTTTTAAGATAATGTGTTTTGCTCCTACAGAATCACAGTGGAATACAGTAGCTGCTGGCAGCCAGATGCAACCCATCTTTCAGAATCAGATTTCCATTCTACTCACCACTTACTTGACTGTGCCTGTATATAATAAGAGACTTTAATATTGACTACTGGAGAGATCCCACTCTTAATACTCTACATAAATTTTCCTTCATGTCTTTAAAGACTTCCAATCAGTTAATCTGATTAGAGGCTTTCTTTAATGGCTTCTTCTCTTCTACCTTAAACTGAAGTTTTTAGTAAAGGTTTTAAAGGTGCGTAACGTTATTTCTCCTCTTTGGATGTTTCACAGCAGTGAAATATTTAGATTTACTACATGCAGCTAACCATACTTCTGCTGGACTGTTTCATAAACTATGAGTGACATTGGTATTTCTGTACGTTTAGAAGCTCTATGATATTCCAGAATTCATTTCTTAAAACTATTTTTACAGTTCTAAAACACAAAGCATGTTCTACCAACATTATGGGAGTACAGGGAACATAGCTTGCTCAGTATTTCTGATAATCTGTAAGACAATTTATACATTCTAAGGACATAAAGTGTTTAGAAAGATAATGATCACAGAATACTGGATACTAACCCAATCTATGTCTTGAGTACACAGATTGTTTCTACCTGTTACATATTTTGAACCTGAAGAAGAAAGAGACGGGAAGAATCATTCACCTCAACCTAACTACTTACAGATGACATAATTTCTGGTTTTGAGTATCTTCCAGTGTTCTGAAATAAAAATTAAATAAAGCACTCAAACAAACAAACAAAAACAATAAACCAGTTTGTCTGAAATCTTGTTCTAATACCTCTATAAAACAGATTCCCCTGGAAAAAAATTCAGGAAGTAGCCAGATAATTACCACTCACAGCAATCTTGTTTTACTCACAGTTTGTCCTAATTTCTAACTCTAATGTGTATTTACTTAAACCACAAGTCTAGTTTGTTGCTCCTGATGTAATTGGGACAATACGTAGAACATTAGACCAAGATGGGGGATACCGTAAAAGCTTTTAAAACGACAAATGTTTCCTGCAATGTTAATGCATAGTTACGCTTTCCTACGCAAACCCGATTAAACTATAGTAAGGGTTTGCTCTTTTCGGAGCAGATCAGCCGCTCACAGCACTGCCACGGATTGCGCACTGCCACCAGTTGTCCTGCAAGAGTCACGTTTCTCCGCTGATGTCAAACCTCGAGCCCGTGTGAATCAGAAATCGGAGCAAACGCCGTTTCGGGGGTTGCTGGCGATGCGGAGGCAGCGAGCTGGGCTCCGTGCCCTGCTGGGGAGCGGTGGGGCGGGACGCGGCGGCGGCCGCACCCCGTCGAGGCGCGCTGCCCGCTCCGTCCTGGCGGGCGCTCCGCTCCCTCGCCACGCCCACGGACCTCACTGTGCATCCCCACGCACCCACTCCCGCGCCCGCCTCCGGTCGAAGACCCACTCCTCCCGGCGCTGCCCCGCGCACCTGCCGGCGCCACAAGGTAGTAGCGCCTGGGCACCCTGCGGCCCCGTTGCGCAGCCTCGATGAGACGTCGTGCAGCCTTCTGCCGGCCGGGCGCCAACAGCGCTCGTGTCGGCGCGAGGTCCTGCCGTCACCAGCGAGGACCAGTGGCACCCGCGAGCCGCTCAGCGCGGGCGCTGTTGCCCCCGCGCCCGCAGCACGCGCGCCTCGCCGGGCACTCGCGGCCGCTCCAGTCGGAGGCTGCGCCCGCCGTGCGGGCCGCGGCGCGGGGGCATGCCGCACCGACCCCGGCAACGGGCACCGCTCCCGTACGGACGACTCTCGCGGCCGCAGGCGGCACCCCCGTTTAAAGCTCCTGCCGCCGGCGCGGGTAGGCCGGTCCGCGGCATCTCCCCCGCCCCGCGCCCGCCCTCCCATCCGTTGCCAGCGGGACGCTCCCATCGGAGGGGTCCGGACCGGCTGCGCGGCCCCGCCGATGTCACAGTGAGGTCCCGTAGAGATGCAATCGAGATGCCCGCCCGGTCTGTCCCCCGGCTGGGGGGGAGGAGGAGGACGAGAGAACGAGCGAGGAAGGGACGCAAAGCAATCACGCTAAAGGCAGTTTACCGAAAAAGGGAATTGTCAGCACAATTTTTTTATCAGTGGATGAATGAGCTGGTGGAATTTGTAAAGGAATTAGATAGCCTTATGGCTGTCACCACTGTTCATACACTAATATTATGAGTATTAATAACGTTAAGGGGGAAATTACCTTATGCCTTTATACTCCTTATAAACGAAAAGTGAAATCATCTCCAGAGGAGTCTCAGAGGGCAGGTGCAAAGTGGGCACCAGGGGAAACTACCATCCCCAGAACTTTTACATGTGTGAGGGCCCTTTCACATCAGACATGAGTATATTTGCAGAAATTTTGGTTGTTCCTGCTACTCTGAAGGTGTGTGAGTAACGTTTTTGGAGGCAGGTGTTCTTCTAATTTCAGTATCCATGGTAGCCTGTGTTAGAGTTTTCCTTTTGGACTCATTTCTGGCTGCTACTAGAAGCTAGATCTTCTCTTCTATTCTTGTCCTCAAGCTTGGTATGTCTGAATACCTTATTGAGTTTTTCATTCTTATGGTTTCAATGCAACTTAGAAAGGAATCTAGCCTTAGAATGAAACTGAGTGCTAAAGTAAGGTAAGGTTTAAAATCTGAGGATTTTTTAAAAAATTACAATAGTAGAATTATTTAGTGACATAGGTCTATGTGGTGCTTTGATGATGTGAAAGAAAATGGAATTAAGGTAAAATGATGTTGATGTAAAATTATCTCTACAATAAATACTAAGCATATTAGATTGACAAGTGGGAAAGGGATAGAAAAGAAACTAGAACCTTTTGGGTTATTCTGCTCTCTTTTGGTCCCATGTGTTTAGAAACACAGTTGTGATTCCTAGATATATAGATTTATTTTCATCTCTGATTTGTGAGGGTAAAGTTACTCTAAGCTTCAGGTTTTTGACATATTTTGTAAGTATGGGGCTTAAGGACAGATTTAATCTCTTACCTTCAAAGGTTTGTTTTAGGAAAAAAGCACGATGCTCACTTCCAAATCAAGACAACAACATATGAGGAAAATGCCTTGTTTTGGAGACCTTCCACTGGATAGCTGAGACACAGAGATATCCAGATGCCTGCTTACAACTTTGATGACTTGGTGTGAGACACTGGATTATTATATTAATTGTTGCCTCAGACCAGTTCAAGTGTGTGTGTGTGGGGAAGGGACAGGTCACATTTCACAAAGGTGCCCTGCTCCATATCCCAGCCCCTTGGAGCCTCCTTGGCCAACCCAGAGCAGCTGTCAGTCACTGGACACGGGGAGCACTGCCCCACACCACAAACCCTGGAGCCCCTAACCCAGCCTCAGAGCGGCCAGTGAGCCAGAAGTCTCACCTGGGGTGGAGGGTGGAGGGTGGGGGGATGGCCACAGGGGGCAAAAGCAAATAAAACCAACACCATCAGATGTCCACATTGTCACGACCCTACTGT